TGTTCCAAAACGCGACATTAATTTCTTGACGACCTAATAAAATAATTAAATTGGTTTCAATTGTCTTCGCAATATTATTAACTTTTGCCCAACTCTATGTATACAAATAACGACCCAACATGGATCGTTTCTTGATAATTAAATTCCTGAGGCAAACCATTTAGTCTCACCTGAAACAGAAAGACCCGTAAAGTAACCAAACATTTTAATTATAATTATAGTGGTAATATTAATTTTTATCTTTTCAGTTTCGTAACAAAACAAGAGTTCACACTTGGAACAAATTGTTATAGATCATCGATAATTAAGAAATATTTACGAAATTACTATTTACTATTTGAGTTTCATTAACACATGTGTCTAGGAGTCAAGAGAGTCTGTGTTATTTGTTGGTATGCACAAAGCTATACAATGGGCTATCTGCACTGAGCCCATCACGAATTTAAAAACACAGATTTTTGCATTACAAGCCATAAATCTTACCGATGGGTCACCAAGGGGCGTCAAAAGAGTCATCCGTTGATTCTTCATGGATTTCTACTTCTTAAGCATTTCACTTTAAGTTTGATGTAACAATAAAAGGTGATAGTCCACATCTCGTTATTGTTTTACATCCCAGTAAGCGATGTCATAAATAGAAATAACGCTAAAATACGGGATCGATCCCTGCTGTACTGTTCATTGGACAGGAAATAAATTACGAGACCAGTATAAAATGTAACCTTCTCGTCTTTCACGATATTTTAGGAGTCCTAGCTCAATAAATATCAGAAAATGAATTTTTTTTCACAGTTAAAACAAATATACAATAAAATTAATTCCAAAACATAAACTTACTATGTAAGGACTTGCCTGCAGCACTTGGCTCCAATTCAAAGATTGTTATTGCTAATACAAGAGCCAGAAATATGTTCCTTTCAGAAAAGGCAAATTTTGTTGCTACACAACCAGTCCTTATTTTCGTCCCCATCACGTGCTAAGTCACATATGCCAGTTGCTGGCGCAGATAGCCCTGTTACTTTGCGCCATAAAATTCCAAACAACCAATCAGGCAGTTGCCCGTTGATTGCTCAAAAGGTTTTAATAATTTTATTGCTGTTATAAATCGCATTTAAATATATTGATAAAACCAGGTGATGGCTCATTGTCTTTTTCCCATCGCTGCCGAGTTTATAAGTGTGTCTTGTGAAACTGTTTAATTTGTTACGTTTTAACATACATTTTGCCAATTATCTCCTTTATATTTTCTATATTAGTCTTTATACGTTTCGTATGTTTAAAGCATCATAATTATTACAACGATGACTCTCGAAGTCAGAGTCAAAAATTCTAACAATAAATAATATGACATATTTGATGACGAGGAACCCACTTTGAGACTAATAATGGCTGGAGACGGCTTAAATGGGTAATGAAGAAAAACTTTAACATAAGTTTAACATCAGGTACCTGGTGATGACAAAACCTTGTCGAAAC